TGGTTTTACTTCCTGGTTTTTATTTTTAGCTGGCTTTGTTATTTTATGTTTATCTTATGCAGTAGTTCTCCAGCTAGTCTAAATATGTTTGTTCATGATCCTTGGGGAGATGGCTGGACACATGATATAGATTCTCCAAATTTAGTAACAGGAGATTTCAGTAATCAGCAGTTATCTGCTTAACTTTCATTATTAATATTTTACATCGAAAACAGCTTTTGTAGTTCCTCCAGTCTTTTGCCATGGTTATATTGGGAAAACTGTTGACATGATTGGGAAATAGTTAACAGACAGTCCCTTTTTTTGTCAAAGTTTGTATGCTCGACCTTACCCGTAATTTACAATCAAAACTCCAGATCAGCGCTAGTTATCTCTATCCAAATATTCGTCTTTGTGTTCAGAAAATTAACCAAAGCATTAATTCTGACTTTTTAATACAAATTGGTAATATTCTTCAAAATATTCAGCTGCTTGGTAGAAAGTCTGGGGTTATGTGGAGAGTGTGTATAAGCTCGATCCTCAGTGACTGCTCCTTTTTGAGGTGGGGCTACTTTATTGCTGGATTACAGACATTTAAAAAAAAAAACACAAAACCAAAACAACCCCAAAACAACAACCAAAAAAAGCCCCCTAGCACAGAATTGCTCAGTTAGAGATCGATTGTTTTTCAGAACTGCAGTCTTAAGCATGAGTTCAAAATCTTACTGTTATTTCAGAATAGCAATCAAGGTGTATAGCTTACTTTCTTAATTCTTCTTCCTCTCTGACCACAAAGTAGCCTCAATTAAGTTGAGTGAATTAACTGAGTGTCATGGGTTATACCTGAACAAAATAATAATGCAGTAGTAGCCAAAAGTACACTGACACCTTTAAAGTAATACTTTGAAATAATATTTCAGCTGAATCTTTTCTCCTTTTTTTAAAAATATATCACTTTAAAGGCTGCTGATGTTAAGAATTAGGGGGAAAGAGGTTTCCTTAACAAAAGCAACCAGATGGCAGGAGTAAAAGAATATTAAACTTGCATTTACTTCTAAATGTAAGTTTTAAGAATGAGTAAGAGTTACAAATTCCAGTGTGTTTGAAATATAAATATTACAGTATTGAGTAAGTTTATGACAAAAATAAAGTGAAACTACTATTGTTTAAACTGGTAGGGGTGGGGGGGCAAGTAAACAGTGCATTATCAAGACACAGCTATATAGATTTTTAGAGCTTACAGTATTGATGTTTGAGAACAGAAGTGTTTAGATTTCTTAATAGTGAAGTGTGATTATCTCTTTAATTCTGTCTTTTGCGCAGGTGAATTTAGTGGGAAAAAAACAAGTATTTGCAGCAGGAGTCAAACTGTCAGTGTTTATTCATATTGGATGGTGTATTAGTGGCACTGAACTGTGAGCTCTGAGAGGAGAGCTTTGCAAATTCACCAGCAGTTGTCAAAAAAGCTATCCCTGCAAAATGTCCTGTCTGCCGTATGAGTAAGTTACTCACCTCATGGAATGCACAGAACAAGATACACTTGTCAAAACTGCTCCACTTCATACTGTGCCATCTGAGTGCAAACCCTGTCTCTTTTCTAGTTTAAACCAAGAAGCTAAACTGGGAACACTGAGATATGGAGATGTAATTTCTGATGTCTGTGCTATGGGGGGAGAGTAATTCTAGTGGACAAATAGTGCTCCGCAGTCTAAAGCATTACATTAAGAATCTTTTAGTGTCTTTCACCTTCAGATTTCTAATTTTTAAACAGAAATGTGGTTGGGAAAGGGTCACAATGGACAGTGAAGCAATAGCCTTGCTTTCATAGTGGATCTGTGTTGCTTTGCATTAATGAGTAAGTAACACAAGCAATGGAATATGGTTGTGCGCAAACAGCGTATAACACCATCAATAGAGAAGGTGTTTTGGCCAAGAAATACCAAGAGAGTGCTTTTGTTATATGAGCAAAAGGCCCAAGGTAAATGTTTAATCTTATGTCATGTTCTTGGGCATCTGAGACGATATACGGTATTTAATAGAAAGGCTTTGGTATGTTTTACTCCAAATCACTGAACTGTCAGATTGCTGGCTAGTGGTACCTTTTTGGATACAATATGTTGCATAGAATTTAAGGAGCATAGTAGTAGTTATAGTAGCCAGAAATTCACTCGTAACTGTTTTTTGTGGGGTTAGAAAGAGATTGAATTCGGCTTGGTGTTGTCATAAACTCTTAACCATAAACCAATGAAAATTGAACATGATACTTTATATTAGGCTTGGTCTTTGATAAATCAACTAAGGAATATTGAAATCAAGGAACGGCTCCTTCCTTGACTGGGAACACCCCAATCATATGAACACATACCTTACTTTTTTTTTTTTTTTTTGCTTTAACAGTTTAATCACTTTTTCTAACAGCATTCCTGGCTTCTGTGTACGTGTAGAGAGCCTGCTACTATGGAATTTCAGTTCTGCATCTTCAGATTCCTTCCTTCTTCCATCTTACTCAGCAGAGCTCTCACTTACAGGGGCTTGGGGGGATCTAATGGAGCCGCCTGCATACATGATTCCCCGCTTTTATTGAGGTCTCCGTCTGTCTCTACCCCCCCTTCCCGACTCCCTAAGATGGAGGCACAAGGATAGAGGTAGGAGAAGCACTCTTGATAGCATGACTGTATTATCTTTATGACCAAAACATAGAGGTACAAAGCTTTGTGCAGACACTCCTGGGTTTCAGTAGATTTCTGGTTTAGCTATCTTCTATCACTTTTTATCTCAGTCTTCCTCCTTTCATCCTTTCCTGTTCTTCAACCCCTTCTCTCACATGCCACATGCGGTGTCTTCAGTTTTGTGTGAAAATTTGCTTATTCTCCTTACAGAGAAAATATATTTTTAAAAACAACATAGAAAATATACAGTCCTGTTGTGTTTGGGGTTTTTTTGGTTGGGGTTTTTTTTTTTGCTTGGTTGGTTGGTTTGGGGCGTTTCTGGTACTAAAGTTTTAAAGGAAAAAAAAAACCAAACAAACAAACCACCATACAAACAAAAAAATTGTCTCGCAATTCTGTAATGTATGTAAGGTTTTGTGTTCATGTTTTGGGTGGGTGGCATTACCTGCAAGTTCTCTTACTAGCGTACTTACTGTAGAAAATAGCATAATAGTTCTGCCAAGTCTTCATTTCATGGTGTGTGTAGTTTAATTTTAGAGGGATTTATTTATGCAACAGAAAAAAACCTCCATGCTTAAGCTGGAAGCTAAGAACAACTAGGCAATTGAAACAACAGTATCTAGTTAAACGCACATAGTTTACAAATTAAGACTTTGGCCTGAACGTACAAATGAGAAATGTACTTCCAAAGGTATTAAATGTTGTAGCTGTCTTACTTAAATAATTTCCTTTCAATCTTTTAAGGTAAATCTACAAGTAAGAAGCAGTATTCTCTCTTGTTGGAGAATATCTTTTATAGTCTCTTCCCAGAAAAGTTTAAGTAAATCTCTTACCTGCTGGCTAGCATTTTTGCTTTATCTATCTTTTTTTTTTTTTTTTTTTTTTTTTTTTGTTATCTTTGCCTTACACATTATATACACACCCCTTCCTCTCTTGGATCATGCCTAGCACAGTTTTTTCAGGGGGGAGACCAACTGTCACAGCATACCTTTACAGTCAGGTTTATTTTGACTTTGCATTCAGGTTTTACTTTGCCACAGTACTGGGTAAGCTGTACCCATAAAATCTAGCTTGCCTATTTTAGCTGCTGGGTTTAAAAACCCAAACAAACATAGGTAGTAAGAGGGGGGGCAAAGTGTAAATATAGTTATGTGTGTATAAAATATACTGGAAATGGCTGTTTTATACAGTTCCTAAAGTGGCATTTGTACCTAGCTAGCTATATAAAAACTTCACTGTTGCTACAGCTACCTATAGACTTACACTGGCAAATCTCACTTTAATTGGCACATTTGTAGCAACAGACCCTTCTAGCAGAGATCATCCTGCTGTATTATTGTAGGAGCAGAAAAAAGGGAGAAAAGGAAAACTCACCAGACTTCCCCCCTTTGTGGCCTGCCAAACTATTTTGTACTTACAGATAGCCCTTTTAATTTGCAGAAGTTGTTTTATCATGGACTGACTAGAAGGCTCATTACAATGGAACGGAGTGCTTGGGTCTGTGCTGTGTAAGTAGCTTTTGTCTTAAGAATTTGGTATAAAAAAATTAAAGAAAGTTACTGTTCTTGCTAACAGTCTATTGTGGGGGGTTTTTTAAAATGCTTTTTTTCCCCTGGAATGGATTAAGAAGCACTTGTAAATCTGTCTGCCCAAAAACTGTGGCAAGGGTAACCTGCAGAGGTAACAAACGGCTTGAGGATTGATACAGTACTTGACAGAAGCTTATTCTGAAATTAGGTTTTATTCTCTTACATGTGAAAGTTGGGGTTTTTTTCACATCAGAGGTTTCCTGATGACCAAAAGTTAGTTAGAAAGTAACCCCGACTTTTTTGGTTTGTTTTGAAGTGAACATGTGCATAATCTTTAGTTCCTCTAATCAGTGACACAATTGTCCAGTTCCTGATTCATATCGCATTAAGGTATTATGCACAGTTGACAATAAAGTCTAGAGCTTCATGGTAAATAAACAGTCAGCCTGGCAATAGACAAATGTTTTATAAACATCTTGTAGTTTATTAATACAGCTGATGTCAGTGCATGAAAACTAACCTTCAATAAGAAGATTCTGCATTCAGCTTTCAGCGTATGTTTCGGTTTCCTTGAAGTGTGGTAGACACCTTGGCATAACGTAGCAGCACATAATGGTTTGTGGGTTTTGAAAAGGTGCAGGCCATATTGTGCTGCCTCAAAAATACAAGGATTTCGTCATCCTGAAGAGAAATCTCTCATATGAATTGGTCAATCTTGTGATGCTGATGTCTGTCATACTTTAGCAGCACGTAAATATTGGTGTTAAGACTGTAACTATCTCCAGTATTAACTGTGCTGCTGAAGTAAGGCTAGCCGCTTCTCCATGAGTCATGAAAAAATGTTTTGTGTATTTCCTGTTGCCTTTTTGTTGTTATAATTTATATATGGATTGTTTATGAACACTTTCTTGGCTTTTATTTGTATTTTCATCTGTTCAGAAACAATATTTAGGACTTCGTAGTATCTGATGATAAATATAGAATAGACATATATAACTTTGAATACCTTGGCTTACATGAAAACTGAATTTATTAAAGGAGCCATCTCGAGCTACACCTGTCTAACAATGCTTTGGTAAGTGTGGTTGTTTATATGTATAAAAAATTATAACCATGGTGTTATTTTAAACGTCAGTATTTCTTTCTTAAAACGGCATTCATTTTTACAGCATTTTCTTAATGAATGGAACTGGGAAATGTTTTGTCATGTTTTTAGTGAGCACATAAAGCAAAAGTGTCTTCCAAAATTTTTAACAAAACTTATTAAATGCTTCATTTCTTAAATCACTGTGTTTATAGGCACATAACAATTTTATGGTTAGAAGTTTAAACTGTGTATCTTACTGTGAATTTACTAATGTTTTTCTCATCTTCCACTAAGATGTTTCTCTTGCAGGGGAATCTTTCATTGAGATGATTGAAATCGCTGCAGTGAGAATGGAAATTACTTGGGCTCCTTTCCTTTAAAAAGCTGCATGCAAGAACTGTGTGGTGAGTCAAATGTAGACTAATGGTTATGTAAATGTCACTAATTTTAGATACAGTCAAGATCTGAAAGTGTGTTTCCTTTTAAGATTTTATTTTCTTCACTATAATGACTCAGTATCACTTGCTAATCTCATTTTATTAGCCCTCTTCTATTTTACCATTAAAATACACATGCCTTCTTCAAATAAGTGCTCACAGATTTAAGTTTATACATCGTATAGATGTTTTAAAAGGAGGAAAAAAGCTTATCTGCACTGGGGATTTGTTTTAACTTCAGGCTTCACAGGCCTGCTACTGGCGCAGTTGCACAGGTACAAACATGACGTAGATGAATATGAATCCAAGTTGTTATAATTCATAAACCTGCATTATTTGACCATATAGAATTTCAGTATGTGCTGGTAAAAACCCACACTTTTCTTGTCTGCCCCTGCTATGGATTTGAACTGGTGGAATTACTGATCGCTAAAATTTCCAATTTAGTTCAGACCTGAGCAGTTCTTAATATTAGAGCTATGTAGTATTAGATAGCCTACAACTTTTTATAAAGTAAACAGTTCTGTGTGTATATTTACCTGCGACAAGTCTCTTAAGATATGTGGCCAAAATGAGGTTGACTACTCAGAAAAAATACGCTATCTGTCTGAAAGTTGGATAGCTTTCTTACTGAGGCTTGTTTAAGTAGCACTGTGCTATAGTTGCTGATCTGTAACTGCTTCATACTAAAGACCTGCACATACATTTCAGCCATTTGAAAACTTAGAAATGCTTGGAAAGACCAGACTCTTATAAAAGAAAAAGGCATTATTCACAGAAAAAGGCATTATTCACAGAATGGCAAGGAACCTCAGGAGATCATCCAGTCCAACCCCCCTGCTAAAGCAGGTTCATCTAGAGCAGGTTGCACAGGACATCGTCCAGGCGGGCTTTGAATATCTCCAGAGAAGGAGACTCCACAACCTCCCTGGGCAGCCTGTTCCAGTGCTCTGTCACCCTCAAAGTAAAGAAGTTCTTCCTCATATTCAACTGAAACCTCTTATGCTTCAGTTTGTGCCCATTGCCTCTTGTCCTGTTGCTGGGCACCACTGAGAAGAGTCTGGCTCCATCCTTGTGACATCCACCCTTAAGATATTTGTAAGTGTTAATGAGATTCCCCTTCAGTCTTCTCTTCTTCAGGCTATTCTTCCACTGTTGCCCTCCCTTTAAAGGTCACTGATTTTTTGTTAGCACTCTGCAGACTGTGGTGCTTGCAGAAGGCCATTGGTCGTGTTACTCTGGTAGATCCAGTATTTTAATGTATCTAGGCTCCAGGACTTCTGTGAGTAGATGTGAATCTAAAGAGCTGATCAGAAAGATTTGAGAGCACGCAACAAGTAAACCTATTTGCATGGCTTTTTCAAAGTCCAATGGCCAAACCATTTTTCCCTGACTGCTTCATTGTGCCAGTACAGGCCTTGGTGTGCATATTTAAAACAGCTTCTGTCTGGTTTGCCATGCAAACCCTTATAACTGGCACAAGGCAGGGGAGTGGGAAGAAGCAGAAAGAGAAAGGTGGGACTGCCTTATTTGGTGGGCCTAGCAGCTTATCACAGTTTAGTGACGTGATGAAAATACAATTTGAGCGTTTGCAGAACCAGAGCTCCCCTGAGGAACCAAAGTTCCTGTCTGGATTAAGAAAATTACTTCAAGTGCTTATGAAGGCCTGTTCAAATTATTCAGTTCCTTAACCTTTGAAAAGAATGTCATATTTCTTGCATGGTTCACAGTTGCCTTAAATAATATTAGCAATTGTATTTTCCAGAGGTTTACCTGCATGGGCAGCACCATAGCCCATGATTGAATGGAACTCCTTCTGCATTGCAGCTCTGAGCTCCTAAGGATTGTTCCTGATGTAAGAAGGGAAGGCTCGCTGGTTTCAGTTCAGGTGCTTGTTTTCTGGCAGGCTTAGGAACTGTGTGGTAAAAAGATGCTTAATTCATGCAAAAGAGAAAGAAAAGATAGGCCTGCTTGAAAATAAACTGAGACTAGTAGCAGTATAGGAGTGAAGACAACTAGTGAGAGGAGCATGTCTAAAAATCTAATGTAGAAAGGTTGGAGCTGAGTACTAATTGGGGCAGGATAGATCTGATGAACAGGAAAACTGCAAGGATTGGGACAGGTTGGGCAAAGATTTGGGGGTTTTGTTTGTTTCTTGAAACTGGAAGAAGCAGCAGCCTGACAGAAGGGTTCTGGCCTGAGGCAAAGAGAATGAGTCAGTCATGGGGAAGGGGGCTTGCACACCTCAGATCGTTCCTAACATTCACTAGAGCACTCTGCACTTCAGATCCACGAGGGAATGCAGACTGTTAATTAGCAGCTTTTGCTCTCATCTGTGAAATCACTGTAAATTTCATCCCCCCCATCATAATTCACACAGAAGAGGGCAACCTACGTGGCTACTTCATGAATTTTGGTCCTGAAAAGAAATCCCGGAATAACAGTAGTTGAGGTTGGAAGGGACCTGGAGATCATCTAGTCCAAGCAGGGTCAGGCAGAGCAGGTTTTTCAGGGCTGTGTGCAGTCAGGTTTTTAATACCTTCAAGGATGGAGGCTCTGCAACCTGCCCTGTTCAGTTAGAATTTCCTGCATTTCATTTTGTGCCTGTTGCCTCCTGTCCTGTTACTGGACACAACTGAGAAGAGCCTGGCTGTGTCTTCTTCACTCTCCCTTACCCCTGTTAGCAGGCATTTGTAAACTTTGATGAGATCGCACACACACAAGCCTTTTCTTCTCCAGGCTGGAGTCCCAGCTCTCTCATCCTTTCTTCATGTGAAAGATGCTTCAGTTCTGTCATCACCTTTGTGGAAGTAAACAAAATGTTTCAACTAATATGGGAATTGGAACTTAAAGGGGGAAATGCTTTTTGGGGGGAAAAAACCCAAGGCACAACCTAATAACTTAACTGTAAAAAGAACATGAAGATCACAAAATGAAACACTAAGAAGTTAGATAACTCCTGCTTTAAGATTCTGCAATCTTCATTTGCCCCCTTGTGTTAGTCTGCTATGAAGCAATTTTCCTGATCACACAGGATATTTAATCTAATGATAGGATTGGCCTGGTGTGGTGCTGAGCCAGGGAAGATGTTTGAGGGCTGTGCAAGCAAGAAGCCTGATGCTGCTATAGGTGCGGCAGAAATTGGTAGAAAATTCTGTAGGCAATGGAACAAAAGACTGCAAGTAGAGGAAACCATGTGTTCATGGTTACGTCAAATGAGAATTCCTAAGAATTGGACGTGATGGCTTGGGGTTTTTTTCTGCCTTTATTCTCATATGATGCTGAACAAGTTAGCAGGCTATTGTTTTTGTAGTACTTGTATTCCTCACTGCAGAGGTGTCTGAGTTAAGACCCTCATGTCTGATGGAAACACCGGCTGTTCACACTTGCAGCTGAGCTTCTTAGGAGTTGTCATTTCAATTAAAATACTACGTAATATGAGGTCTGTTGACAGTCTCCTACCTTCTTAAACAGGGTACCTCAAACTGTTGCATACTACTATAGTTTCTACACCTCCATGTCACACTTTAAAAAGGGGTAATACACACTTACCTCAGAGTTGTTGGGTTTTTTATTTTAAAAAAATCACTTTTATTGAGTAGCTGTACTACAGTAATGCATTTCCTCATGGAATTTTCTATGGCATTTATTAATTCTGATCTCAGAGGAAGAGGTGAGTATTGTGCGTCTTTAAAAGACCAGATCTGCAATCAACTTTCCTTGTTACCAGCTCAGGCTGAGAAACTGAGTTTCCATGTTGTTGATTCATGGTCTATTCGTCCAGTCCTGTGAACTCCAAAATACTCTGATTTTGTGTCCTATCTTGTCACTGATACATTTTGCATGTATAGCTGTTATTATTAAACACTTGTTTGTCCCATTTTTGGAATGTGGTTTCATGACTAATGCCTTCAATATTCTGCAGAATCTTTTATGCACTAAAGATAATGTTCATGTCTGAACTTCAGCATATTTTACAATAAATTTACCTGTAAAGGTCTATGTTGCAGAAAGAATGAACTAGTTAAGTTGTAACACTTAATTTCTTATGTACAGTGATAAACAGTGCATCTTTAAAACTGTAAAGTGACTTACACCTATGTATTTAGGACTTCCACAGGCCATTGTTCTTCAAATTTCAAAAGCCGTTTTCTTGGAACTGCATATGGCACGCTTTACCGAGGGAGAATGGTTCTGTACTTGATATTCAGAGAGATCTGAAAATGTTTCAGCTTTTCCCTTAGTGATGGTGTCTTGTTAAGTATTGAGGGAAATCTCTCCTAATCAGGTAGCAATAGTAGCAGTAATGACTGACATTTGAAATGTTTAGACTTCCTTTATGTTCCTCATCACCACCTCCTGTCATAGAAGTCACAAGAACCAATTGATAGAAATATATCCAAAGTGGTGAGCTACTATTTTACCACAGTTTAACTTGAAGCAGAGCAGCAATTCTTCATTTAAAACAAACAAGAACAAGTTTAAAATGTATTTGAAGGGAAACTTATGTCTGAGATATATGTCAATCTCCTTTCTAAGGTGGCAGTTCTAAGTGTGTATCAGAAGAAAATGTTTAAATATAAATAGAAATTTTAAAAAATGATGGAGAAAATGCAATGGCATGAATAACATTGCTCATCTTTCTGTGAGGGGGGCTAATATCACTGGGGTATTACTTTTTTCACTCAAAATTAAACAGTTTGTTTCTGTTGAAAGTTACTTAATGGCTTTCAGGTGCAACAACTTGATATTTTTTCCAAATCTGATTCACTCACAGTAGCTTTGTGTTTAATAAATCAGACTAAATGTATCTCCTATTGCTTCTGTCTCTTAATGTAAAATTTGAACCCTATGTTCAAATGTTGTGAAATTAACAAATTATAGCAGCATTTGTCCAGTTTGAGTCTTCAATCTTAAGTATCAGTGCTGAGTAGCTAGAGCCTGACTTACTGAGCTTCTGTTGAGAGATGGGAGTAATATATCCATAATGTTTTCTGCTGTTTATAGCCATAGGAGACAGCCATGGATAGAGAGTTTCACATTTCCCTATGGTCTTTGCAGGGCAAGCATGTGGCTTTATTACCTATAAAGGAACCTTCTGTCAGCAGCTTTTGCACTTCAAGTGGTTTTGAAAGTAAAACATTTTGGAATCTCTCATAAAATACTCCAAAAAAACCTTAAGTATTACAAAATTTGTACTATATAAGGCATGAATTACAGAATGTAAAGTCTCAAATGTATACATTTTTAATATTTTATTGAAATAAAGGCAAAGGAAAGGCTTCAAGGATTATATTATTGGACCAGCTAGAGTAGTCAACAATAATATATGACTATGATTCTACAGTCCTGTGATTCTCAAGCCAGAAAAGTTTGGGACTGACAGTCTTCCTGTTTCCTTCAATATTAGCCTGGCTCCGATATTTCCATGGTGGTTTCACTGAATGGCTTTGGGGTAGTTTTTGGTAAGCTCAACCAGCTGAATGTGCTTGCTGTGTGAGCAACAGTACTGGCACCAATGAAAAGTTCCCTCTGCTCTCGAGCATGGCAGTCCAGTACTACAGTGAACTTCCATTGTTTAAACCAATGCAAGGAATAGTCAGGGCCTTATTCTTCCTTTCCTGATACTCCTACAGGCAGACAGTGCCTAGCTGCTCTTTAAATTGGTATCAAAGGGGCTACCTCTTTCCTTCCACAGAAGATTGGAACATCTGGAACTAACACAAAAATGCTCCTATGCATTCAGATTCTTAGTGTATGGAAGCAGCTGTGACACACCTTTCCTGTCACCAAGACAATGTGAAAGTTTCCCTCTTTTCCAGTAAGCAATATCTGTTATTTTGGGACATATCAATAAATACATAAACTATGTATAAATAAATATGTAAACCATCCATGTATAATGAAACTTCAGACACATTTTAAAATAAGACATTTCCAGGGGTATCAGACGAAGATGAAAAAGTGCTCTGCTGTTTTTCATGTATGAAATCAGTTAAATGACCTGTGCAGCAACCAGTTTTGGGAAGTGTGCATTGTACACTTTGGGTTGTATATAGTTTGTACGGTCAAAAACAGGATTTCACTGCAGATTTGATCATGTCATGTAGCCAGACAGCCCCCTATTGGTTGTATTGTTGCGGAGGTTCCAGAAATTAATTGTGCTTTAATTCAGCAATTCATTGCACTCAGCAAGTTATTTTTTTTAATTCCCACATTATAAATAGAGAAAATGGGGGGAAAAATTGAATGCATTTGTGAAAATTACCTTTGAATCAAATTCTATCCCTCTTGTCTATGAGATAAATGCCAAAGCTTGGTTAAACAGAGTATCTGCACTCAGTTTTTCAATGTCTTTGTAGGACCTTACTTTTAAAGACCTGCAGTGAAAACGTAGAAGAGTAGTTTGTCCTTGTGATCAAAAGTTAAAACTAGCGTACTTTAATATCACATTTACAGCCTGGCTAATGCAAAGTATTTAGACAAACTTCTGTCAGTAATGCATAAAAGTTTGTAAGCTAGCAGCAAACAAGCCAAACATAGGCGCCAGCCTCATTTAATGACTGGGTTGATCTTGCAGGCATGTCTGTGAGAGCTTCTGCTATTTCACACGGTACAGCTCTACCACGAGGCTTGGTTTTTTTTTTTTTATTCATGTTTGCTTTGCTTGAATCTCTTCTTTTGTATGTGGCTTGAGTTGCCACCAGTGCAACTAGCTGCTTGTTTTCAGTTTGTGTTTACCCATGCGTTAAGACACCAAAAACCGTGTTCTTCAGAAGAAATAGGTGTCTAAAATACTGGGAAATTGAAGGATACTTATTGGGTATTTTGACTTTTTTTTTAAGTGTTTGTGAAGGGAACCTAAAATCTGCCTTGTAATGGTCACTATGTACCCATGTGGTGATGGAGTGCTGTAGATACTGTATGAATGTATGCAAGCACTTATTTTCTAGAATCTGATGACGTATCCACGCTTAAAAAGCACTATTTGTGGTGGAAATAGGTGGCCCAAGGAAACTTTCAGGAAGAGCTCTGTCCCGGAGGCACAGGATCTTCTGCTTCTGAGATAAATGATACAGAGGTGATCTCTTTCTGCATCAGGTATGGCCTGGGCTAGAAAAGCTCGTCTTCTTTTGAAGAATTTGATTTGTGGCTAAAAATCCGTAGCTGTAACAGTAGTAGAGAAACTGATGTGAGAATTAATCTTCTGCTTCAACACAGAAGACTAGCATGTTGCTGAGACCTCTCTTTCTTTCTCCCCTTCCCCTTCAGTACACATTAAAAGATCGATTGTAATCAGATATCTTATAGCAGTTGGCAAAAAGAACAGAGGGTAAGGATACGTGCTGTGATTGAAGAGGGGGAATGGGAAGGACAGGGACAGACCAAAGAGCTGCTTAAAAATTGTCATGACCTACTAAAATTGATCAGAAGAGTAAGAAACTGACTGAAGCAATCGCAAGGTGAGGGGACTCTCCCAAGAAACAGAATGCCTGGGTTTCGGGTTCTTCAGAAGCCCAAGGGGATTCAAGTTCACATCTCCTGCTTCTGAAGAAGCGCCCAGTGGAGGTTGCCCACAGATGTTCCCCATCTTTCTTGTTAAATCAAGGATATGTGCAAAAAAGGATAGAAGTCACCAAGCGGTTTTGTTCCGAGGTTGTTGGCAATGATAACTATTGCCGTTAGCAGATGAAAGCAAGCTGCAGGTAGGATTTCAAAGGGTAGTGGAATTTGCTTTTATTGGACTAACTGTGCAGTTCCTTGCAAGTTCCATATTCTTTTCCTGAAGTAACAGTAAAATGAGCATACAATAAATATAAGTACCCATTAAAGCTCACTAAAGGAATGCCTTCTGTTTCCAGTAGATGAACAC